AGTGATAGACTTATTAGTAGTTGTGGTAGAGTTATTTTGTGACCAGTAGACTTATTGATGGTTCGCGCAATCGTAAACTTATTTATAATAGTGGTAGAGTTATAATATGTGGTAGACGTATTTATTGTAATGGTAGAATTATTCAATCTTTTCACTTTTTTACTAAAACAACCTGAGACTTGTTTATAGTAGTGGTAGATTTATAAATCTTTTCACTTTTTTACTTAAACAACCTTAGACTTGTTTATAGTAGTGGTAGATTTATTTATAGTAGTGGTAGATTTATAATATGTGGTAGACTTATATAGTCGTGGTAGTGGTAGATTTATAATATGTGGTAGACTTATTTATAGTAGTGGTTGACTTATTTATAGTAGTGGTAGATTTATTCTATAAAAGGTAAAATCGTAATTTATCCTTCATCTTCTCCACAACACCAAACTTCTCTCAAACCCTAATGGTGGCCAGCAACTTTTTAGCTTGTTTTTACTGTATTTTAACTCATTTTCAACTAGATTTTGCCTAAAACTAGTATATCTAACATCATATATCTCTTTTATAATAAAAAATCAAAAGATTTTGAGTTTTTTCCAACTTTTGATTTCTAATCCAATTTTTATCTAAATTTTGGTGTTTCCGCAGCCTCCACACTTCCGCCAAGCGCGTATCAACCGCGTCCGCAGCCTCCGCGGCCGTGATTTCAAACAAATCTCTGATTTTTTGTTGTTTTTTTTAGTTAATGATGAATGGCATTTTCGTAATAAAAACTTTATACCAAGATTTATATGTCTTTTAGAACCTTTGTTGAGTATTAAGGTTGAATAAAAATTGTTTTACTAATTAAACTATTTTTTAAAATTGTTTTAATAATTATCTCTAAAATATAATATAAGGTGTAGTCGGACCCAAGCAAAATCACTTTTCTAACCAATTGAAAGTAATTGCATTTTCACATTATTCTCTTAATTAGGACAGCTTTGTTTCCTCCTAAAGTAGATTAACCACATCAAAGTTAAAAAAAAAAAAAGTAGATCAACCGACAAAATAACAATTATTACGTACACCAAAAAAAGTTAAATCATTACTACATGCAATTTTCCCAAGTGTGTATAAAACAAAGAACGAAGAGACTTGCCAATTGCCCATAGAGCGGGAGACTAATCTTTTTTTTTCCTTCTTTTTAAACTCCTAATAACTTTTATATATTACAAAACAGCTCCAAAAGCTTTTGCTTGAGATCATGTCCACCCTTATCCTAACATCTATTTTCCTCTCCGCCGTGTTATGTGTAACGCTACTTCTTATGCCGCAACAAATAAACGCGGCTCGAGCGTTCTATGTCTTTGGCGACTCACTAGTGGACAGTGGTAATAACAATTACTTAGTAACCACCGCTCGTGCCGATTCGCCACCGTACGGAATCGATTATCCGACCGGTCGAGCAACCGGTCGTTTCTCCAACGGCTTGAACCTTCCTGACGTCATTAGTACGAAGTCGTTTTCAATTTATTTAATTTTTAGTTTTATTCCCAATTTTTTTATTTAAAGTGAATTTACATGGGGTTTAGGTGAACAAATTGGATCTGAGCCTACATTACCAATACTTAGCCCTGAGCTAACCGGAGAGAAGCTATTGATCGGAGCTAATTTTGCCTCTGCCGGCATCGGAATTCTCAATGACACCGGCATTCAATTTGTAAGTCATTTTTATCCACTTTTTCTAGAAATATAATCTCCTCGTTTTATTTTGTTTTTTTGAAAATCCAATTCCGATTATTTTGTGGAACTAGCTCAAGAAATGATTAGTGGCTAATCTAGAAAAGAGAAAAAAACTATATTTAGTTCACTTTCAAGTGGAAAATTGATTTAGATAATCATATACTTTCTCCTACTTATATATTTATTAACAAAAACAAAATGACATTTGCTTCGACCAATGTGATCATGCGATTCATTAAATAGAAAAAGGATGATTTCAACTTTTTAAAAACATAGCTTAAACACCAAACTAAAATTTTGAGTTGGAAGTGTTGACTTAACTTCCACTTATAGACACATAAGAAACAAAATCCAACCCAAATCAAATTATTTATTATTTTTGCGGATATGCAATTACAGTTGAACATACTAAGGATCGATAGACAATTCGAGCTGTTCCAAGAATATCAAGAGAGAGTGAGTGAGATTATTGGTTCAGACAAAACACAACAGCTTGTAAACGGAGCTCTTGTCCTCATGACTCTCGGCGGTAACGATTTCGTCAACAACTACTTCATACCTTTCTCTGCTAGAGGCCGCCAATCCTCTCTCGGCGAATTTAGCCAGCTTCTCATCTCCGAATACAAAAAAATCCTCAAGGTACAATACATATGTGTTTTATTGTGTTACACGTTAGGTTTAGGGCTTTTTTGTGTCTTCTCATGCATTTGACTCTTATTTGGTG